TTAACCATTAAAGATACCTTCCCTGTACAAACTGTGTGATTTGATGATATATTTGGACTAAAAATATATTCAAACTAATTAATCTATTATAATTGTGCTTTAAATCCTTCTCAAAACATTGTATTCGCGAGAAAATACCCCAAGATTTAAAAATCTATTAAAATGTGTCACGTAACTTGACTGACACGGTACTGTGGCATAGCTACCCTTATGAAAAAGTTCTATAGAAAAAGTACAGGTTTCTATAGAAGTTTGTGGGATTCTAAAGAATGCTGCAGGAAAACGAAATTATTCTGTATTTTTTTTTTTTACATGACTATAGATTCAAAAACATGTACTATAGTTTTGTGTAGGATTGGTAGATGAATATTTTCCAAGTGTAATTTCCTATAGAATTCTATACAATACTGTAAGAAACTATTGGAAAAAAAATAAACCTACAGATTCATTGGTGCTGCTATAGTTTTCTATAGAACTAACTTGTATCCTCCAGTCAGTTGAGTAATCCTTCAGTTTTCTATAGCCTTTGTGCTAAAAACTATAGTTTGCTATAGAACCAACTTGCATTCTCATGTCAGCTGTGATTCCTATAGATTTGGTGGTAAAAACTATAGTTTTCTATAGAACTAACTTATTGTCTCAAGTCAGTAGTATATTCCTATAGTTGTCGATGACATTCTGTTGAAAACTAAGAATTTATATGTATATTGTCATTTTAACAAATAGCCTACTATAGTTTCCTACATAATATTGTAGAAACAATGTTCTATACTACAGATTTCATGAATTGGTGATGTCTTTTATTCATACTATAGTTTACAATAGAATTTAGTGATGCACTTGTGTGAATTATGTAAACTTTTCCAGCATATTAATTTTCCTGGATGCAGTTTTCCTTAATTTATTGTGATACCAAATGACAAACTAAAATAAGCTTACCACGAAAATTAAATATAAAGTATAAAATAGTGTATATAATATGAATGAAATAGTGATACATGTTGACACTCAAAGGAATTCCCCACCCCAACAAAAATATCAGATAATAAATTATTCTTCAGATAAGTCAATGAAATAAAGACAGTTTATTTGAACTGTTAGGTGATCCTGCTAGTTAGATTTTAATGACTATAGCAGATTCTGTACTCAGATTCTGTCAACCGTGCATACCAGAAAAATGGTTGCGGGTTTATGCTCTGCGTAACCAATTGGTTACATAAAATGGTTGCGCTGTTTTCATGTTTTATCCAGATTTAAATGGTGCTATTATTCATTTCCACTTGCAGTGAATGTATTTTTAAAGAAATAACTTGACTAACTTTATTCTTTTATATTTAATATTATATTTTGAGGTTAAGTGTTGATGACTTTAATCCCACGATGTCCTCATTTAAACAATAAAACATTAGAAAAAAAATTCCACTTCACTAAATCCCTATATTTTAATAATGAGGGGAATCGGTTCCAAAAATTACTAATGGATTTCCGTTTTTATATCATATCTGACCTTCAAAAACCAGGAATGGTAGCTACCACATTGTTTTCGGTCACTGAAGACTACATGCGTACTTCATATATTACACTTGTAAGTTGTCACTTGCAATTATTCATCCAAGCACGTAGCATGAGATAGCCTCACTCATAGGTAGCGACTGATTGACAAACAGTATTTATTATGAACCTCGGCACTCTATACACAAAGTCTCAAAAGGAAAAAGAATAGTTTGATGTCATGAAATAATATTAAAATAGACAGGACAGTAAAATCGTTTACATTATCGCTCGAGCGATGCCGGGGAGGGGGTCAAAGTTGACGACTACACACGGGTCATTGGTACTACAGCATGGCTATAGTGAAAACTGAAAGGAACATGTGTAGTAAATTCTTTGGAAATATAGCCGACATGTTAAATAGTCAAACTCATTTCTCCTTTTGTGTTTGAAAATCCAAAGGTACGCTTTCAAATTTTTATGGCATAACCAATCATTTAAAGAATTAGGGGCGGGAGGCATTTTTAAATCAACGTGCTTGCAACTGGTCAATAGCCTACGTACGTGGTGTCAAAATACTTGATCTGTCAAAGTACCGTAATATGGTAATGGAGAAATGAAATGCCAAGAATGAATGGAGTTTGTGCTATAATACAAATAATTTAGACCCGTGTCACAAAGTCATCCTGTATAAAAATTGATCCAATGTGAATAAATCTGTTAATGAAATTTGTTAACGTAACCGATATTTCAATTTGCGTAACCAGGTAATCGGTCGCGTGTTTTTGAGCTAGCGCAACCGCACGTAACCGATTGGTATCGTTCGCGTGAAATTTCGTGGCCTGAGAATCCATGACAGAAAAATAAGCTTATCAATTTAGAAGAAATCATGGGTCAACTATATTTATTCCCAAAATAAGATTTAATAAAAAAAAGTCTATAGAATTCTGTAGTACCCATTCCTACAGAAAACTATAGTGGCCCAATTTCCAAACTACAGAATACTACAGTATTCATTCCTATACATAACTGTAGAATTTCCTACAGAAATTGCAATAAAAAAAACCTAAGAAATACTACAGTATTTTCCTATAGAAATTTTGCCATAAATCTGTATGATGAGCGCTACAGAAACTGTAGAATATTTGGGGCCGTTATTTCCTACAGGCCCCCAAAATTCTGTAGAATACTATATAATTTTATCCTATAAAAAATGGGACACGCCCCCCAAAAAACTCTATAGATTTTCTATAGAATTCTACACTGGTATCCTGTAGGACTTTTTGCTAAGGGTAGTTTCATTTTGTTAGTATTTGTTTTATTTATAGTCTGTAGACGCCTAAATAGTCCAGACTAATAACAGCTATATTTAGATATAGGTTACTGTAGTTATCTATAGTGAGGGAAAGGATATTTGATAACTCTGTGAATAGTATGTTGACAGACTCTTTCTAAGTTATATAATAATATTGCTATCTGCCATATATTATGTTTAATTTTATAATTTAATAGAAGTCCATGTCTTGTTATTTAGCATACTATTAGTGCGTTTATATCCCTATCATATAATCTATTTTGTTGGAAATGTACCATAATACATTGTCTAATATGGAGGCAGACCACCATTAAATTTCACCATCTCGGTACATACGAATTGTAGTTCGTCTATTTATAGCAATTCTCTCTCTCTCTCTTTTCTCCCCTTTTGCATGCCCATTTTTGTTGATTTTTTGGTCTAGACTGGACGAAGAGGGTTTGAATTAACATTTTCTGCCAGGTTTTGGTAAATATTCATGATTTTGAGGCGGAAGGATAACAGGGTTATCAGGTTGGCTACGGCGATATGTACGGCAACTAGTTACATGTTTTTAGTATGCTTCTTGAAGTTTGTGTATCTCAAAATTTTGGTGGTCAACCTCATACAAAATTTAGTGCAAAGACATGACCATTTGTTCCTCTGTCTGTAGTGAAAAGCATTCAGCCCAACGAAAATTTGGGGAAAAGTTGGAGGTGGGCAAAGAGGCCAGAATTAACATTGAAGTCAATGGGGAAATTAATGGTGGTCTGCCTCCTATATGAAAACAACCTGACAGTTTATGAAAGGCCTAAATTTGATGATATGATCTCCAAATTGTCAGAAAATGTGATATATGGCATTTTGATAGTAAAAAAAGTGAAATGGTAAAATTTCAAAAATATTTGACAAATTTGGGAGGGGAAATTTTGATTTTAGTCAAAATTTTGTGATTTTCAGTGTTTATTTACTTTTCAAAATTAGTGGAAAATATTTTAATGTATGATTTTTACTTTTGCTGCATCATAAAGGTTAGACGCGAAGAAAGCATCATAATTTCACTCAATTTTGCCTAAAAATAATGATAAATTGTCTGAAATTCTTTAGATTACCCCCAATATTGCTGTCTATCATAGTGACGACGTCCAGTTCTTTATCTAAATCTTACATAATGACCTTCATTGGCATTTAGTTCTGCCCCATGCTAACGTTTAATATACACATTTAATTTCACGAATTTAGCTATTCAAGTTATCAATGGCTCTTGTCTAGGAGAGATTTCACGTCATTTTTGCAAAGTGATCAAGGACCATAACTCTGGTAGTAATTATCAAAATCGTTATAAATCGTATGACCTAAACATGACCTCAGTTTGATATTAACTTCAGTCTCTTGAGCGTCCACATGATTTGCCATAGTGATCAATGGCCATAACTCTGGCAGTAATTATCGGAAATTGTTGAAATAGTCTAAATTTGAAGTCAATCGGATATTTACCGCCTATAGCCTCAATACCCTAGCGTCCACCAGCAATTGTGAGCGAATGGACCAACGGACGGGGGAGACGACAATATACGACCACATTTGAATGTAGTATGTATGTAGTAAAAACTGAATACAACAGCCTTTTTAGTTAAATCATCCGAGAAGTCAGCAAGGGTTGACGCATATGTATTCTTTTGTAGGTAATGGGAGAATTTACAAGCCAGTGATTTCATTTTCTGCAAATCTAATGATAACTTCTGCCGTTAGATCATTTACAGGGTTCATGAAAGTGAAACAAGGGTCATAAGTGTAAGGCATTAACGGATATTAGTGAAATTCAAAACTCCTCTTCGTTTTACTAATTTAAATAAAGCATGTAAATTTAATATAGATCGGATGATAACTTAAGTCTTTAGAGCGTTCACAAGTTTCAACAAAGTGAAACACGTGCCATAACTCTAAGAGTTGTAAACAGAAATTGCCGAAATGCGATAGGCATCTTCGTTTTACAAATTGAAATACTACATGTAAATTTAATACAGATCGGATGATAACTTTAGTTGTTAGAGCTTTCACAGGGTTCAATAAAGCGACACACGAACGGACTGATGGACGGATGACAATACGACCACATTTTCATGTGGGTGTATTAAAATTATATACAAGAAAGGGGACTAGAAAGCCATTTTATGGTGATTGAATAAAAAGCACATTGTTCATCAGAAATTACCCTTTTGTGGTATATTCATTTCTGCCATGTCATCTCTGGCCTTGCGACCTTGTTTACTTGTCTTCTTGCTTGTCGCTTCCTGTGAGTACGCCATGATTATATGGTTATCTGAAACTGTACAAAGCAAACAAACATTTCGCTATATCTTCCAACATTTAACAAGAGATGAAAGGCAAAATCGATAGTTCTCGTCCCCTGGTTATCGAAATGCTTGACATTGAATTCTTAAAATCACAGGCAGGACTGGGGAGATGGTGGGGTATCTCTGAAATGGAAGGTGATGGGTATGACATTTCTGTTATGTTCTCAATGCTTCACATTAAATTCCAGAAAAATCAGATAAAAATTATGACCTCTACAAGCTAAAAACGCGATTTTTCGTACAATCAGGGGCCATAATTCAGGAAGTTGTGGTCCGATATGCGCGAATATCGAAAGGAACCGAGATCTTTGGGTTATAAACATTTCAAGTTCCTACAAAATCGGATAAAAATTGTGACCTCTATAGGGTCCACAACCTTGATATACCATATTTTTACACTATTTGAGAACAAACGGTGCCAATTTTGTCTGTCAATTTTGGGCTGATTTTCACGAAAATCGAATTCAGTCGTCCTTAGGGTGTAACGGTGATATCATAATAGGTTTTTTTAAATCGGATAAAAATTATGACCTCTATAGGGTCCACAAGCCAAAAACGCGATTTTTCGTACAATCAGGGGCCATAATTCAGGAAGTTACAGTCCGATATGCGCGAATATCGACAGGAAACGAGATCTTTGGGTTTTAAACTTACATTTCAAGTTTCAACAAAAGAAAGATAAAAATTGTGACCTCTATAGGGTCCACGACCTTGATATACCATATTTTTACGCTAGTTGAGAACGAATGGCGGCCATTTTGTCTGTCAATTTTTATCCGATTTTCGCGAAATTCGAACTCAGTCGTCCTTAGGGTGTAGCGGTGATATAATAATACAGTTTTTTAAATCGGATAAAAATTATGACTTCTATGGGGTCCACAAGCTAAAAACGCGATTTTTCGTACAATCAGGGGCCATAATTCAGGAAGTTATGGTCCGATATGCGCGAATATCGAGAGGAACCGAGATCTTTGGGTTATAAACTTACATTTCAAGTTTCAACAAAATCGGATAAATATTGTGACCTCTATAGGGTCCACAAGCTAAAAACATATTATTTCGTACACACAGGGGCCATAATCCATGAAGGTTTGATCCGATACATGCCAGTATCGAAAGCAGTCGAGATCTTTTGGAGATAAACCTATAGTTCAAGTTTTGTCAAAATCGGATAAGAATTGTGACCTGTAGAGTGTCCACAAACAATTGTGGACGGACGGACAGACGTCCGGACATCTGGACGGACAGGGGCGACGGCATAATACGTCCACATGAAAATGTGGGCGTATAAAAATTGTGACCTCTATAGGGTCCACAACCTTGATATACCATATTTTTACGCTATTTGAGAACGAACGGCGGCCATTTTGTCTGTCAATTTTGGGCCGATTTTCACAAAATTCGAACTCAGGCGTCCTTAGGGTGTAACGGTGATATAATAATACAGTTTTTTATATCGGATACAAATTATGACTTCCGTGGGCTCCACAAGATAAAAATGCGATTTTTTGTACAATTAGGGGCCATAATTCAGGAAGTTATGGTCCGATATGCGCGAATATCAAAAGGAACCGAGGTCTTTGGGTTATAAACTTACATTTCAAGTTTCAACAAAATCGGATAAAAATTGTGACCTCTATAGGGTCCACAACCTTGATATACCATATTTTTACACTATTTGAGAACAAACGGTGGCCATTTTGTCTGTCAATTTTGGGCTGATTTTCACGAAAATCGAATTCAGTCGTCCTTAGGGTGTAACGGTGATATCATAATAGGTTTTTTTAAATCGGATAAAAATTATGACCTCTATAGGGTCCACAAGCCAAAAACGTGATTTTTCGTACAATCAGGGGCCATAATTCAGGAAGTTACAGTCCGATATGCGCGAATATCGACAGGAAACGAGATCTTTGGGTTTTAAACTTACATTTCAAGTTTCAACAAAATCGGATAAAAATTGTGACCTCTATAGGGTCCACAACCTTGATATACCATATTTTTACGCTAGTTGAGAACGAATGGCGGCCATTTTGTCTGTCAATTTTTATCCGATTTTCGCGAAATTCGAACTCAGTCGTCCTTAGGGTGTAACGGTGATATAATAATACAGTTTTTTAAATCGGATAAAAATTATGACTTCTATAGGGTCCACAAGCTAAAAACGTGATTTTTCGTACAATCAGGGGCCATAATTCAGGAAGTTATGGTCCGATATGCGCGAATATCGAGAGGAACCGAGATCTTTGGGTTATAAACTTACATTTCAAGTTTCAACAAAATCGGATAAATATTGTGACCTCTATAGGGTCCACAAGCTAAAAACGTATTATTTCGTACACACAGGGGCCATAATCCATGAAGGTTCAATCCGATACATGCCAGTATCGAAAGCAGCCGAGATCTTTTGGAGATAAACCTATAGTTCAAGTTTTGTCAAAATCAGGGGCCATAATTCAGGAAGTTATGGTCCGATATGCGCGAATATCGAAAGGAACCGAGATCTTTGGGTTATAAACTTACATTTCAAGTTTCAACAAAATCGGATAAAAATTGTGACCTCTATAGGGTCCACAAGCTAAAACCGTGATTTTTCGTACAAACAGGGGCCATAATCAGGGCTGTCGGTAATTTTTCACAGTTGATTAGCAGCACTGCTAATCAAAAAGTCCAATTTCGCCAAATTTGATTAGCAAATTTAAAAATTGATTAGCAGTTTTTCAGTTTCAATGTAAAACACCTAAATAACAAGATATTACTTTAATTCATAATAAATATGATTAGATTCCATTCTGACTATTCTTAGATTTTTTAGCACTGCCACAGGTACTTGTGACAGTTTATGAATGTGATGTAGAAATTTAGTTAGGTCTTATGTCTGAAGCCAATTCTTGACAGTGACTTCCGAAGCCCCACTCATTTTAATTGTTATTTTTTTTTGTTACGTTAGAAATCTTCGTTAGAAAACAATTCCATCTGCTTTTTATCGTGTATTACTATTTTTCTTCAATCGGACACACCTCGATTAACTAGACACACACGATATAAACAATAATGTTTTACGGGAATTTTTACTTTGATTTATCATTTTACAATACGTTAACATGTATTTATTTTTTTATATTTTATTTACAATACGTGGGGGATACATTGGATTTATTTCTTTCAAAATGAATATGATATAATTACTTGATGTCTCGCAACGTGAGTGGTACTACTTGATTCCCTATTTCCGGTTTAATAGTCCCTATTCATAGAGTTATGTCCCTGTGTTATATAGTATTGTGTCTGGGTAGTTCGAGAAGAAAATGTCACACGGAGAATTCAGTTTTGTTTATAAAATTTTATTCAACATTTTATACACGTTGAAAGTGTTGAGTAAGCCTTCTAGTCTTCAAAATGTGGATTATTCTTGTGTCAATATCCAAAATGTCAGGCATATTGATGATTCGCAGTAACTGCGAATCAAAAACGTTAGATTTTAATTTTGGGTTAGCAACGGACAAAATATGTATCGCAAATTGCGCTGCGATACTGGTTGTCGGCAGCCCTGGCCATAATCCATGAAGTTTCGATCCGATACATGCCAATATCGAAAGCAGTCGAGAACTTTTGGGGATAAACCTATATTTCAAGTTTCGTCAAAATCGGACAAGAATTATGACCTGTAGAGAGTCCACAAACAAATTGTGGACGGACGGACAGGGGCGACGACAATATACGTCCACATGAAAATGTGGGCGTATAAAAAAACAAACCTAATATCGTCAAATAGCAGCACATTAGTATAATAACTGCAACAAATGTTCGATAATTTGATGAAAATTGAAATATTTACGCAGTTATCTCCCTTTACAACCGATAAATATTGTTACCGATGTAAAATAAAGTGATCTATATGTCTGCTCAGTTTGGATAAGTTGACTCTTCGCATCAATGAGATATTAAGTACTGAAATTGGTGGTAAAAAAAACAAACGAAACTACAGATTTTTTACCATTCTCAAGACCGGAAAAGCCATCTCAGCATTTCCATGGGTGGATCAATCACTCTAACATTTTATATACGTATGTTTAGGCACTAGGTAAGCCAATAGACAAAAATGGATGAAATCCCAAAATTGAGCCTTATCACTTCCTGTATGGTCTTATCGCGGACACATCCTTAATTATGACTTTTTTTCTGATTTGTCAATCCATGTACCCGAGTTAAAGGAATCACAGAGTTCTAATCACCAACATGCTACTATCTGTACTTACCAGATATATCAGGTTTAGCCGCTTCTTCAATATTGGTATTCGCTTTATTTTCAGTGTCTGTGTCTGTAATTCTGTCAGTTTGATCTGTCTGTACCATTGTATCATGTCTAGGGTCATCTTCAATATAAAATGATTCAATTACAAAATGAACTGTGGTAAGTTAGTAATTGACTACAAAAGGGTTTCATAATACCAGCGGAACTAGATTAAATACCAACGTTATTTAACAATTTATTAATCTGATTTCGCTTTCATTTGAACACTCAACAATTTGCAAAAAGGTATCTTCGACACTGCAGTATGTAGAACAGGTCAGAGTTAATTGTGATGTCAGTGGAAATGAAATATAATCATTACACAGTTTGAAGTATTGCAAATCTAATGGATAATAGGACATTAATAAGTAATGAGTAACTGAAAGATTACATTTCAAATATTATTATGTAATGGTCAACTATATTTCAATTCTTTTATTTGAATATTATATATCTGACAAAAGTCAAATATTATGTAATGGTCAACTATATCTCAATCTTTTTATGTCAAATTTGAATAATAACTTTATATATTTAATCCAGCAGATTAACAAAAATCACAAAATTTAAATCAGTTTTACGAATAAAAACGACGTTTTAGAATTTTGTTTTTATATTAAACTTCACCTAAAACATGTAAGTTTAAACAATTACAAACAAAAATGTTGTTTTTAAATTAAACTCCATCTAAGACATGTAAGTTTAAACAAGGTGGCTATTTGAACTGATATAGATTTTAATCAAAGATCAGTAATACTTAGTACTAATTGTATTCAATAGAAGTATGTCCTTTGTATTTCTTGTTCACTTACTAAATCCCATAGAAACAATTTAATTCTAGTTCACATATTCAAAAAAAAACCCATACCATTAGAGATAAAAGTTCACATATTCATTTTTTTCAGAATTAAAATCGTTACTCGACACAAACTAGGTCATTTCGGGGATATATTTCAATAATTCGCGTATAGAGGTCTTTAGCAGTGGGAGGAAACCGGAGATCGCATTTATTCATTTAGATGGTAATGACATCACAGCGACATCGTCACCTGTGAATATATACCAGACAATTTGTTCAATAGTGACATTATTCGAAGCATCGGTGAAAATTTGAGAAGAGGAAATTTTTCAAAGTCGTCTGGATTGATTGACACAGGTGTTTTATTTGATAATATTGAGTAGTATTTGGTAGTACCGGGTTATTATTTGCTTGTTTTGGGTAATAGGGGAGGGGGGGGATGGAACAGCCACAGACATCGGTTATAGCATTGGAAATACATGTCCTGCGATATAACTCACTATTTTCTAAAGAAATCAAGTAGGCTAATATGCTTATTTTGCACCACTATGTTGTAGCACATGTATGTGGTGATATTGGGGTGGTATTGGTAGTATTGGGTAAATCTTCCCACCTGTGAGGAGGTTATTCAAATTAAATATAATTTGTTTCACTAATTTAAATAATTCGCTCATCAATTTCAAACAGATTGGCTGATGAGTATTTTCGTCACCAGAGTAGTCTTAAGGTTCCACGAAGTGAAACAAGAGTCATAACTCTGGAAATAATTCATGGACATTGCTGAAATTCCATAGGCTTGTTCGTCTCACTAATTTGAATAATGCATATATATATGGCCTACATATTTTTGGCAGATTGGACAATAACTTTTCTCGTTAGCACCTAATCAATTAATCAATCAATTGCTTTATTGTAAAAAAAAGTATGGTTGTCTTTTAACTGAGTTTGTGGGTTTCAGAAATGAATGCACATCCTGCTTTGTGTATGACATCTATCACATGATATCTTGCTAGATATTATAATACATATGTAAGTGGTGATGATTTTAAACTTACCTTGTGTTGTGTTCGTGGTTTCCATGGTAGTTCCACTCTTTAAATGGTTAATAACAATGATGTAGGCCTTCTTGTTGTTTGTTTTATGTAATATATCCATTAGTGTATCCATTGTATTGATTGAGGCTTCTGATGAAACTATATCCTCTTTGTCTTTTTCATTCAAACAGCCATCTTGTAAAAGAAGATTACATAGCTTTACGAAATCTATGTTTCGAATATCTACCGTCTGTTTTAATTTTTCCACTTCAAAGATTTGTTGTTGTGAATCTGTCGCAGTCTTCAAATCTATCTCTTGTCCTGGTGGATCAGCATGAGTCACTTTGGCGATTTGTGGTTGTTGATCTGTCACAGAGTTGACATCTTTATCTTGATCCGATGGCTTCCACTTCTTGAGTTCTTCCCGCAATGCTTTACGCTCCTTTTCACTTTGGTCAAATTTCTTCTCCAGCTCAGTTTCTCTTTGGTCAAATTTCTTCTCCCGCGCCTTAAATTCCTTCTCTCGCTCCTTAAATGTCTCCTCATTTTCTTCTTTCAGCTGGAGTTGTTGTTTGAGTTCTTTTTCTTGTTCTTCTTGTTGTTTGAGTTCTCTTTCTTTCAGCTTGAGTTGTTGTTTAAAATCTCTTTCTTGCAGCTCAAGGTTTTGTTTAAGTTCCCGCTCTACTTTAGTTTTCTCTTCTTCTATCTTCTGGAGCTTGTCTTGGTATAACTTCTTAGCTTCCTCGAACATTGTATTTCTGTAGTGGTCGCCGTTATTGTTTCTTTTTGTTTCCAGCAAGAGTCTTAAAATACCATGAACATCATCAGGCTGAGGGTTTTCGTTGTTGATAAGAGAATGTCGATTATCACAGTAATCTTCCAGGAATTCTTTAAATTCTGGATTTGCATCTTTATAATATTCTGTAAATGACCTTTTTTGAAGTGCATCTTTTTTTGTAAAAATAATCACTCCATATCTTTTTAGGCACTCCCCAAATAAATCTGTGTATTGTTCTATGGTTTCCAAAACATGTCTATCAATCCTACCAATAGGTAACACAAACGAAAATATATGGGGTCCTGGTGCCAGACCATCTATACTTTTGGCAAGCTCCATTGCTACGTCTTGGTGTGAAATTTTGGTATCAGATAACCCCGGAGTATCAAGTATTTTGAAAAGATACTTTTCACCGTCTACCTCTCTGACATTATGTTTGCATGAGTTAAACCGTGTAACCGAGGCAGCGCTTGATTCAGATTTAAATCTAGTATCTTTTGATAAATCCAATATACTATTCCCCAGGGCACTTTTACCAACACCAGTTTTACCAATTAATATTACACGCACTTCCGCTTCTGAAATTGAGAGCAAATATCATAGGCGTGTTGAGGTCTCGGAAGTAGGGTAGGCAGACCAAACTCAGGGGGTAGGTGAGGGATGAAACTGTGGCACATATTAGATTTGATCTGACACTTGGTTGAGGGATTATGATTAAGGTCTGAAGATCTGAACATGGACATAGTAAACCCCAAGTACTTAACGACCTGGTTGGAACAAGGAAAGGGCAGCGGGAAAAGAGGGCACAATATTATCATTGGGGCAATGGGAATATGATAACATTGGTGTTGGCATTCGAAATTCGGGGACACTTTTTCGGAAGGAAGGGCACATAGCCACACACCCCTATACCCTGGTTAGAACTCTCATCGGATTCTAGTTTTATCACCCTTTTCGGCTTCTTTCGTTGTTTTATTTATGAGGGCATCTAGCATAAATACAAATAGTATGTTTATAAATTCATATTTTTTATCCACAGGAACTAATCAGTTCTTGTGGGCAATACAAATATGGTAATAAACTGTCAATTGCCTTCAATGGGTTTTAACGTCCTACTTTTCTCTACCGACTGGGTTAATGAAGACAGCTAGTAATTCGGCATTAACACAATAAATAACTGAATTCAACATATGGGGCCATCGCGGTATTAAAATAAAGGACTATATTAACATGTCGGTGTATTAAAATAAAGGACTGTATTAACACGTGGGTAAATTAAAATAAAGGACTATATTAACATGTGAGTTTATTAAAATAAAGGACTGTATTAACATGTGGGTGTATTAAAATAAAGGACTATATTAACACGTGGGTATATTAAAATAAAGGACCATATTAACATGTCGGTGTATTAAAATAAAGGACTATATTAACACGTGGGTGTATTAAATTAAAGGACTATATTAACATGTGAGTATATTAAAATAAAGGACTATATTAGCATGTGGGTGTATTAAAATAAAGGACTATATTAACAAGTGGGTGTAAAGGACTATATTAACATGTGGGTGTATTAAAATATGCATGTGTTAAGAAACAAATCCATTCATATTTATGAACATGTAGAATAATAGTACAGAATTTTAGTACAAATCCCACATAATGGGACTGAAGTATAATCTTTAAAATATTTATTTCAGGTATCTGTAATCCATCAGTCAGATTGGAAATACAAAACAAAGCTTCTAAACAAATGCTTTCTTAGAACAAATATTGAACTTACTGACAATTTCTAGGTTAGCTGGAAGTGAATCACTCATTCCGTCATTAACTGTAACTGTTAGAGTCACACAATTACACGAAAACACAGGATCTGACGTAACTTGTACACGTAATTCATCGTCTACAATGTAAAATATTAATCTATATATAGTAACAAGTATTTATCAATCACTCTAGTAACATTTGATTGTAGGACAGAAACAGATAAATTGTACCAAATAAACCGACAGATATCAATCCAATATATATATCGGTTGAACGTAAATCAAGAAATGTATATATATAGTATCTATTTCTTACAGCATTTTTTTTACTCGAATTATATTCATCGGTCTCAAAAAGTCTAGAAAACCAAATTGATAAGTTGGAAGTTCTTATACACAGTCAACAGTTTACATATAGCATCTAAAGTCAAATAATTAGTTATTTTTGCCTTTATTTATTCAAACAACCATTAAGAGCCCTGCAAAGAATTAGGGACACTTGTTTGACATTTCCATAGAAATAATAAATTAAGCACATATTCTGAGGCCCTCATTTTGATAATCTTTCCAAATACTTTAATCGTATACATACGTTCCGGATAGAGAGTGAAATATTGTTCAGCTTCTTCAGGATGCCAACTCGATTTAAATTTGAGTGGTTGATTATTGGATGTTTCACCAGTTACAGTAAATATAAGCCCTTTACGTCCTTCTATTGCTACAGCATCCGGTAAATTGGTGATTTTACATGTTATATTTACTGTAATATATAAATGTTTAGATAACTCCTAAAAACAAAAGCTAACTAAGGGCATTAACTTGTACATTATATGTTTGGAACAATCAAAGTATTTATGGCATTAAAAGAAGTTATTTCTTGAAGATTTAACACTGTTACAGTATCTCTATAAATTAGACCGTTAAAAACATCGTCGTCATGTGCTATTTTTCTATAAACTTGTCGGTGAACAGATCAGTCATTTTTAAAAATGTATATTTCCATTCTAGTATATCACTGCTTTCTTTATTTGTTATCATTCTGGAGTTACGTACTGAATTGTACTTAAGCAAAGTAAAGTCTGTTTGGTCATTGACTGGATTTGAAATGTTTAAATTCAAAGTAGCGGATTATTATTATTACTCAACTTTTACATAATAATGTACCCAGATGATCTTTACGGAAAATTAATACCACAATAATATATCTCAAAATAAAATATTGCCTTAAATCAGGATAATATATAAAGGAGGGGGGGGGAAGGGTCATGCCCCATGGCTAACCAGGTGCGGCATAGGCTCAGTAAAAAAGATTCTGACCGGGCCAAATTTCCTTCACAGTACACTGTATCAGGTATGTCCGTCTTCATTAACCCAGAAAAGTAAGGTGTCGAACCCCATTTCATTTCGTTTAAATTTATTGCACGCTTATAACCAGATTGTTACAAAAGTCATACCATAGACTTTTTATCTGGTTGTGCCAATATGCAAAACTAACTATTACGAAATTGTAAATCAGGGCTTTTTCGCTTACATTTTGCCATCATTGTGTTGTAGATAATCAGTACCATTTATAGATTTAGTCTACGTAGTTAATACTTGTTTAATTCGTATTAATCAAATGCATGTGATCATGTTTTGGTTTATCTGCACCATATTGTTATTAATGGTATATCAACACCACGATGCCATTATTAATTTATATTGTCATAATGGTTTATCATTATTATTGCCTAACATTGACAACAATAATCACTGTGCCTGGTATGAATGTGGACCACGTGCATATGTATTCTTATAAATAACTATATTTTAATTATATTTATAACCCTTGACCATGGTTTTTCACAACATGTGAAAGCTAACAGTAAAACCTGTGTGAAAGATATACATCCCGGCTTAAAAACAGTCCGACTAGAAAATTGCTTGCCATTTCTTCAATTATTAATTAAAATGGCTAAAACGTAATGACATTGACATACCTGGAATTGTCATCCCTTTGCTTTCTTCATCTATTAGTGAGTGATCATATATATCATCAGTATCTGTAATAGAAACATATATATTAGTAAGTTCAGAACCGTACCATGTAAACAAAGATAGGTTGCCAGATAACGAAACATACCTAAAACATTTGAAACTGATTACCAGTGACAACCCCATTTTAAGCAATTATCAGAAATCATTACAATTTGTTTAGCTTCTAGTTCTGCCCCATGACAACGTTTCGAACAAAACATTAACTATTGTAAATTAAAAAGCTTTTCAAGTTTTGAATGAACTTCGTCTCGAAAACATGCACAACATTGTTCAAAAGTTTCAAGGACAATAACTCTGCCAGTAATTATTGAATAACCTTTTAAACATTGTATATAAATTTTAAATCAATCGGATATTAACTGTAGCCTCTAGAAAGTCCACAAAATTTTTCAAAGGGCTTGTGGACGGACAGAAAATTATCATTATGGAAGGCGAAATATGTTCCGAAAGTCAACAGACGAACAGATGCATTTAATACTCTCCGCTTTTTACTTGGTATTTAGTTATGAAGAAGCCAACTGAAATATGTAAATGGTATCGAATGTACATTGTGCTATTTTACTTACCTGATGCTAATTGTTCGGCTACTGCTGTATATTTTAATTTATTTAAACAATGGATGAATTTAGAATATGCATGTCTACCGCAAGTTTGAAGAATATCTAGAAATTTACGTATCATATCCTTTGTACCGCCGCTAGATTCCGCTCTTCTGATTTTTTCCAAATCATCTTCATTTAGTACATATATCTCAGTTAAACTGTCTAATAATGGTTGTAGAGGACTCAGATTCTCTGTTAAATACGTATAGTTAGATATTATTCTATGTTCATCTTCAGGTAACATCTTCCCCTTCTCTCTTCTAGATATAACCTTTCTCCTCTTAGCATCAGGTGAGCTCTCTTGGTATTCTACTGAGAAAATAAACACCACAATATTATACCTGTGTCTATAATAACAATATTATAACAACTCGGTTTGTTTATCAGTCATTAAGATAATAACGATTACTATTAACAAACTAAAATTCAATTAATTATGTTTGCAGTGTAATGCCTATTTTTCGAGATATTATCCCTGAAGTTATGACATCGTATTTCTGATGTTACCATGTCATATAATCTTAATGTTAATTTCTGGAAAACATCAATCTATAATAGTGTTGCAGTGAACAAGGGTTGCAGCATATTTGTTGTCTGTGTCAACAATTACAACATTTACAACACACTTAAATCTGTTTAACAGCAACATCTCATTAAACATGCATTATGCAAGAGCTAATCGACAAAACCATAATCAACTATCGATGACATCATATCGGTCCTATTTTCAGTGGATTCGACAGGTTCGGCATTTACAAAAAAATTAAATCTTAAAATGGCGAAGGGAGGGTAAGCCTCGAACAACCA